CCTTGTTGTCAGCAGTTTCATGTGCGACCTGTTCTTTCCAACCAAAAGGAGCGTGGTTGTAGGTAACGTTACAGATCAGCAGATGCAGACATCAGTGTTGTTTTCTTGTCACAAGCATGAGCCTCTTGTGATGGTTACAGGGCCATTGCTGTCTGCAGGGTGATGCACCTTTTTTATCTCTGAGGTTTATAGATTTTGAATCTGAAAGACCAAAGTGATAATTGGGCTTTTTCTCCGGCTGGCTGGGCTGTGATCAAAATGTAGCAGAAGGTGATAAACTACAAAGTGTTTTTCAGACTGGACAGGATTTTGTTTATTGCTGGGACTGAATGATGCTTCCTCTAGTTTCCACATACAGTAAAATTAGCTCTCAGGAGCTCTGTGAATTCCAAATTAAAGAAGTTTTACTGTATTTTAAAGTTATTTAAATAAAACTTTTTTAATCTGCAGACCCTGTGTGAAACTTCTCTCCAGCACATAACGCTGTTGTCTTTTAGGTTTTGAGATCTCTGAGTACCAGAAGCGACAGGCAGCCATGACAGTGAGAAAAGTGACCAAACAGAAAGGTGAGGCAACAAGAAGATATCAGGTGATTTCCCTTTTTTTTTTTTTCCTCGCTGGTGTGCTCTGTCTTCTCATCGCTGTTTACTCTTCCCTTTACCTGCTCTGTTTTTTTGCTTTCTACACCTTTTTTGACACATACTTTGTTTATGGATGGACCTAGACTAGCCTTGTAAGTCTAAGTAAGCTAGAAAAGTCACGAGCGTTCACGCGTTCTCGCTATATTACTTCAGATGTATCTCCTTTTAAGTTAAATGTCTGTCAGCCTATACATGAGACTACGTTGAAGATATGACCTGATATGAGTTGTAAAGCAGCTGTTAAGCATCAATGAAAAGACAGAGGGCTGTTTGCATGAAGTATTGAGTTTAAAGGAGGATGCCGGTGTTCATGACATGTGGGTCCTGTGTCACGCTTGCCTTGAAAGTGATTTAAAATATTGCACAGAGCTTGAATTTTTCTTCTCTTACTGAGGAAAGGCCTCTTCCCACTGCACATGTTTCGCAGAAGGTGCTGAAAAACGTTTTATCACTTGTAATTCTAATGCTGAAACACTCAACACCCTGTTTTAGATTTAAACAAACTGCTTGGTTTCTGAGCCAACTACTGTTTTGTCTATTTTTATTCAATGCAGACCTTTTATTTATTTGTTTATTTGAATAGGGACTACATAGCATGAACCATGTCGCGCAGCACAGCATGGGCTAATAAGTTAATTTGCATTGCTAAGTATAGAATATAAGAACTTCAGGACTCATAACATAGCAAAGCACACACTGTAGTATAGTGAAGTGCCATATGACAGGGATCCGATTATTCGGGAACAGCAGGATTGATCCCTCTTTGAAGGAAAAGTGATCGTAATCCGGATCCAGTTTGAGTCCCCCTATACGAAAAATCCTGAAACCTGTTTTTACAATTGAGGATATAGGCTATATTGCCAAAAGTATTCACTCGTCTGTCTTCACACGCATATGAACATGAGTGACATCCCATCCTTAATCCGTGGAGTTTAATGCCGGTCCAACGTTAGCAGCTTTAACAGCTGGGACGGCTTTCCACAAGGTTTAGAAGTGTTTATAGGAACTTTTGACCATTTTTCCAGGAGCTCATTTGTTGGTTGGATAAAAAGGCCTCCACCCTAATTCATCCCAAAGATGTTCTTTCAAGTTGAGATCGGGACTCTGTGCAGGCCAGTCAAGTTCTTCCACACCAAACTCGCTCATGCCTGTTCACTGGTGCACAGTCATGTTGGACTACGTTAAGAGTTCCTAAGGGTTCAGGCCCAACTCCTGAAAAACAACCGCACACCACAATATCACGCCCACCAAACTTTATACATGGCACAATGCAGTCAGACATGCACTGTTCTCCTGGCAACCACCAAACCCAGACTCGTCCATCGGATTGCCAGACCAAGAAGCGTGATTTGTCTCTCCAGAGAACTGATCGAGCTCTCTAGAGTCCAGTGGTGGTGTGCTTTACACCACTGCATGTGATGCATCAGCTGCTCAACCATGGAAACCCATTCCATGAAGCAATCTACGCACTGATCTTGATCTGAAGGCTACATGAACTTTGGAGGTCTGTAGCGATTGACTCTGCAGAACGTTGGCGACTTCTACCCACATCAACATCAAGTGACCCCGCTCTGTGATCTTACGTGGCCTACTACTTCGCTTCCACTTTGTCATAATAACACAAACAGTTAACTGTGGAATATTTAGAAGTGGGGAAATTTCACGATTGGACTTGTTGCACAGGTGGCATCCTATCATGGTACCACGGTGGAATTCACCAAGCTCCTGAGAGCGACACATTCTTTCACAAATATTTGTAGAAGCAGTCTGCATGCTTAGGTGCTGGATTTTATACACCCGTGACCATGAACGTGATTGGAACACCTTAGTTCAATGATCTGGATGGGTGAGTGAATACTTTTGGCAATATAGTGTATATAACAGTGCCTCACCAATCCTACTAGATGCTTCACATGTTGCTGATCCCAAAGCTCATACTGGAACTACAAGGGCAACCTGATTACGTAATTTTAATGTATGAGTAAAAGTATTATTAGAAAATCTAATAAAATGATCAAAACTTAGCTTATTTGATTTCTTTTGTTTGATAGGGTGAGCTTCCCTACTTCCTATCCACACTTTTATATCATCACAGAGGGACTTGATTGCAGTAAATGCTGCATGTGACCGAGAGGTTATACAATAGCTTAAATATGCAAAGCCTGCAGAGTGTAGCATTGGAATAACAGACTGGGTATTCACAGTATTCACAAAATGTAATGAGAAGAATCATCAGAATTCTTTTTTTAAGGAATGGACACACAAGCTTGCAGTGATTTTTAAAATACATGGCTTGATTTAAAGTTTTTGCATACAAAACGTGTTTTGTTCCCCAGACACAATACATATGTGTGTAAATTAGTCAAACTTATCCCATTCTTTACATACTAGCATGTGTGGAGTCACTGCAGCCTCTACTGACAACCGTGTGAGACTCGCGAATCTCCTCCTTCTAAAAGTACGTGTTTTGATAGTGAACGACTAAAGCATTTTGAAATCATATGATTTTTTTTGATTCATCCTATATTTA